CCGCGTTATCCGCGTTATCCCCGTTATCCCCGTTATCCCCGTTTTCTCTGCTGCCCGGAGCGCGGCGGCAGGTGCGCGGCGGCAGGTGGAGCCTCGCCCTGCTCGCGCATCCCGTGCCACCCCTTCCCGGTAGACCAAGGGTACCAATGTCCTCCTGGGTCCTGCCGCGCTCTGGGAGGTTTGGGCCGGGATGGCCGCTCGGCTGTGTTTGAAGCTGGGATCGTCGACGTAAATGAAAACCATGTGGAAGACTGGGCTGTGAGGTGCAGCGGGCGCTCAGTAAAAGCCTCACCTTCCCTTAGCTTGCTTCTCGCCTGGGAGCAGTGGAGAGGCGCAGCCACAAACCTACTCTAGAGCAATCCCATCCAAAATCCTAGAGCACAGACACAGTCCAGGAGTCAGCAGGAATCTAGTCAGCCATTGTGCACCATCATTTGTGAATTTATAACCAGAGTCCAATGACCCTGCAGAGTTTGGTGGACTGTAACTTGATTGCTGCTGGGCTGGAATGAAGTTAAAACAATCTACCTGCAGTCGTGAGGGAAAAGAGCAAAATACTAACGTTGCACAATGGATTCTCAGTTTTTCACATGCAGGAGATATATATATGGCTAATTTTTTAATTGGTTATATACCTATACTTGCCTCAGGATACACAATATGTTATGGACTATTATAGAATTAGCTTAAAAACTCTGATTCCAGTAACTTAAGGCAATTATTGAAATGATCCAGACTGTCATAATGGGACTTTCAAGAGCCCTTCACGTTAGGGTTGAGTTTGGCTGTAGCATGAATGGAGGTTTTGTAGTAGTGTAGGGCAAATGAAGCTGTGGTCTCTCATAAGAGCAAAATCAATATCATCTGCAAACACCTCCAAGTCCTTCTCTGTAGGGCTGCTCAAAATCCCTTCATCCCCCAGCCTGTGTTGGTACTCAGCAGTGAAACTAAATGTGTTCTTAGTAGGCGCAGTCGTACATGCTCATTTCTGTAATACATACATGCATACACCATGGACAGCTACACAGATCAATACAGCCAGCAACACTGAGCATTCACACAAGCACAAACAGCACCAATGGTCTGACCTTGTTGCCCTTTGGCTAATCAGGGTGAAAGTGTATTATTCAGAAATATATGCATATGTATCATGTGGATCCCTCCAGTAGCTGACCTTAGATACCCAGTCTACCCCTGAATCCACAACATGCCCCACTGCTGTACCCTGGGCAGACAAGCTCCCAAGACTTACAACCCCACTGTAGTTGCTTTTCATTCGTCACCCACAGACACACGCCATCATCTGCTGGTACCTGAATCTCCGGTCTTCTCAGCTGCTGTATCCTCACAAATGAATCCCTCTCAAGGGCTGGTACAGACCTCCTCACTCACGTGCACCAGGGTTCTCTCAGTAGCTGGGCTTAGACGTGCAGTCCATCCAGTAACTGGCTGTGGATCCCAAGTCACCCAGTTACTGGCATCTGGACACACTATTCCCCAGACCCCATAGTCCCACTCCAGCAGCTGGTACAGATTTCCTTGCACACAGCAGCACATTAACATGCACACTGTGGATCTCTCCTGAGCAAACAAATATCTTAGGCTCTCCTTCCATCCTGGATCACTGTTGTCCCCAGCTTCCTCCCACACAGGTACACATGCACAGAGACATCTGCAGTCTCTCAGCTGATCTTCAGATTTTATATCCTCTCCATCAGTTGGCATGGACTTTTTGGTCCCTTTGGAAGCCCCCTTCTCCAATTGCCTTACTTCCAGAGACATACTTCCTTCCCAAGCCTCTTAATCTCTTCTCCACCTTATTTGGCTTGATATTTACATGGTCACTTGGTTCAATTGCTCGCACTACAGAAACATATAAACCCTGATCTGCAGTGCAGCTGTTGATGCTTGTTTTTATTCACTCCAGTCCCTTCAGTTGATGACTCTGCTGATTTGCAAGCCCTATAATCCCTTGTCTGATTTCAGTTGCTGACTCTTAGACATCCTTACAATCACATCGACACAGAACAGAGTCCACTCATTTAGGAAAGTAGTTAGAAATGGAATTTAGGAAGAAGGCAGGACAGCAGGTGATCATCTGGTATGGGTCATGGCCTGACAAGCATACTGCCCAGCAACCTGTTTACACATGGGCAACCACTTTCGTCCTCCTAGCCCTCTATGACCCATTTTCCCCAAGTCAAGATAAGCCATCCCTTCCTCTGCCTTTAGTTTTGTCCCCTACACCAGCCAAAATATGTTTTGTACAATCCTAAGACTCCCTGAATGTCTGGGGAGGTTCAGACGTGATACCTGGAAACATTTCTTTACCAAGAGGATGGTCATACCCTGGAACAGGTCTTCTGTAGAGGCTGCTGATGCCCCATGCCTGTCAGTGTGTGAGGCATTTGGAAAATGTCCTTAAAAAAAAGCTTTAATTTTGAATCAGCCCTGTTGCAATCACACAGTTGGACTTGATGAACATTCTATTCTATTCTATTCTATTCTATTCTATTCTATTCTATTCTATTCTATTCTATTCTATTCTATTCTATTCTATTCTATTCTATTCTATTCTATTCTATTCTTCTATCCCACCCCACCCCACCCCATCCCATCCCATCTCATCCCATCCCACTCCTCTTCATCCCACAGTGTGTCTTATACCCTCTAGATAGTGTTGCCTTTTGCCCACCATGGAAATGAAACTCAAGGTAATTTTAGTAAGGAGGCAATATAAAAAAGGATCTTTATTTGAAAGCCTTCAGAGGCAGTTATGGAAAGATGTCCCCAAAACCCACTCCCCCCAGAGGTGAGTGCGTTTTAGGAATTAGCATAATTAATAAAAGCACCAATTAGGACAAGTGGTGATGCAATCCCCCCCCACCCAGGTCAAGCCCTTTCTCTGGAGCCCCCTGTTCAGCACTAGCTGTACTTTTTCCATGAAAATGTATCTCAAAGAGTTGTTTTCTGCCTTGGTTCCCAGGAAGAACCAAAATAGAATGGAGCCTGGTACCTCCCAGGGCTTGGAGCTCTGGAATTTGTTTTGTCTTTCTGCTTAGGGAAAGGCCATGGAAAATTAATGGGAAAATTAGTTACAAATACAATAGATGATAATGTTACAAATATATGGGCTAAGAGTACAGAGAACATATAAAAGAAAAAAGGGAAAAACCCAAATGACATCAATAGTACCCCTGACTTCAACCCCTAAGTTTGTCTGGAGAGTCTTTCTAGACTCATCTGGCGTGTTTCAGACCTGGATGAAGACCATCAGTTCTCTTTGTGAAGCTCCTGAGACTGGGACAGGGAATCTTTTTTCTGAGTTACCCATAAAGATGAAGGTTCCCCTGCTTGATATTGTTGGTCTGTACCAAATTTAGAGCATGGAGATGAGCTTTTTATCAAGGAACGTAACAACACTTAATTTCTGGTCATACTTTGAAGACCCTGTATTCTCTGATGGAGAGGATTTTAGAGATTCTGTTGTTGAATTTAATTTAGCAATTTAATGTAACTGAATTTAGTAATTTAGCTCCTAGTCCTGAAGTCATAGTGTTGAAAATGTAGCATCATGAAGTTTTGACAAAGGTAAATGAGTCACACAAATAAATCAGTTATACCTCAGGGCATATATGTGCTGCCAACCTAATCCACTCCTTTCCACCCTTCAGTTCACAGTCTATCAGGTACCTCCCTCACAAGTGGCTAGGACAGAGATGAGACAAAATGCTGGTCACTTTATTTCATTCTTTCAACTGCTGTTTGTTGTTCAAGATGCTTGTCTTTTACCTCTCCTAAACTAATTTTTAGAAAATTCTAGTATGAAATCACAAATACCCATTATTGGATTATCTGTATTTGGGTTACATGACAAGGTTTTGGTAGCAAGCAGGCTACAGGGGTGGCTTCTGTGAGAAGATACCAGAAGCTCCCTCTGTGTCAGAGTCAGCTCCGGCTGGCTCTGATGGACCTGCTGCTGGCCAAAGCTGAGCCTGGTGGCAGCACACAGTGACAGTGTATTTAACAAAGGGAAAAAGATGCTGCACAACAGCAGCTGACGAGTTAGAGAATGGTACAGACAATTATTCAGACCCCATGGTCTGGAGAGGAAGAAGGAGCAGGAGGAGGTGCTCCTGACACAGAAGGAGAGATTTCCCTGCAGACTGTGATGCAGCCCATGGTGAGGCAGCTGTGGCCCTGCAGCCTGTGGAGCAGACATCCACCCTGTAGCCTGTGGAGGATAGCATGTCCAAGCAGGTGGATGCTCCCTGAAGGAACCTGTGAACCAAAGAAAAAAAAGCCCATCCCTGAGCTGGCCTCTGACAGCACCTATGACCCCATTGAGAGCAGCCCATGATGAAGCTGGTTTTCTGGCAGGACCTGTGACCCCATTTGGGAACCCACACTGGAGCAGTCTGTTCCTGAAGGACTGCACCCTGTGGAAGAGACTCACACTGGAGCAGTTCACGAAGGGAAGGACCTGTGTTGTATAATTTTGTGTAAGACTGTCTCCCATAGGAGGCACCCCATGCTGGGGGAAGAGCATGAGAAGGAAGGAACAAAGCATTGTGAACTGACCTGAACCCCTATTCCCCATCTCCCTGCACTGTTCAGGAGGAGGAAATAAAGAAGTCAAGAGTTAAGTTGAGCCCTAGAAGGGAGGACCGGTGGGAGGAATATGTTTTAAGGTTTGTTTTTATTTCATATTATCCTACTTTTGATTTGCAATAAATTAAATTAATTTCGCCACACTGAGTCTGTTTTGCCCATGATGGTTATTACTGAGTCATGTCCTCACCCTTATCTTGACCCGTGAGCCTTCTGTCAC